ATGAACTCTGTGGCCGAGAGGCATCACGCTCTTTCTATTCTTTATTATCTCCCCGTCTCTGCCTTTGGATGACAGTATGGTTTGAGTAGCTCTTTATTAGAAATACTTGGGATCAGCAGTGTTTCAGATCTTGACATTTTTTTTGGAGAGGTTTTTGCTATAGGGCGCATGCGCTCACCAGACAGACAGAGAGAGACAGAGAGACAGAAAGTGAGAAATCGTCCCCCAGGGGGGATGGTCACGCCGCAATCCCTTCTCCTCCATCCTCTTCTCAGGATCTTGGGCACACACGCGCCCGGCGTGAGTTTAAGCCACCAGTCTGGGACTGGAACCGCGGTTGACTACATGGGAGTCCAGTGACATAGCCATTATGCTAACTGCTGGTCCCCAGATTTTGAATATTTTTGAATGACAGAATTTTTTTTTTGAGAGATTTTTGCTATAGGGCATGTGTGCTCACCAGAGAGAGAGAGAGAGACAAAAAACCAGAAAGCACCCCCTGGGGGGATGGCCATGCTGCAATCCCTTCTCCTCGATTCTCCTCTTGGGATTTTGGGCATGAACGCACATGTGCCTGGCATGTTTTAAGCTGCCACGTCCGGGACTCAAACCATGGTTGACTACATTGGCATCCGGTGACATAACCATTACGCCATCTGCTGGTCCCAGCAGAATGTTTACATGTACATAATGAGATACCTTGGGGCTGGGACCTGAGTCTAAACACAGAATTCATTTATATTTCATATACACCTTATCTACAAGCTGGAAAGTAATTTTTACACAACATTTTTTCCTTTTTTATTTCTTTTTTTAAAAAAATACATTCAGTCACATTATTTAGCTTACAAAGTGAATATTTCAATATGACCATTTCTCCCGAGTCCATTTGATTAAAATATCTTCAACAGATAATACCACATTTCTTTGTCCCATTAATGCTTTGCACAACATTTTTTATTGTAGCGTTTTGACTACAGTCAAATGTTAGGTGTGAAGGGTCAAGTTTTGGATTTTGGATTTTTGGATTAGAGGTGCTACCTATCTCTCTGTAATCAGCTTCAGTTTGATAACTGTGAGGACGACTAGGATATTTTGCGTGCCTCAGAAAAATTACTGACATACCAACATAGTTTCTTCTTTTTCCCCACAGAAACTTTTGCTATAGGGCACATGTGTTCCCTAGAGAGAGATAGAAAGCAAGAAATCACTACCTGGGGGGCATGGCCATGCTGTAGCCTCCCCTCCTCCCACTCTCTTGGGATTTGGGGTACACACACACACACACACACATGCTCCCAGGGTGAGTTTTAATTGTTGAGTCTGGGACTTGAACTGTGGTTGGCTGTACGGGAATTCAGCGACATTACTGCTATGCCACCTGCCAGCCCCACCAATATAGTTTCTTAACTGCCTTTTTTGGATGCAGACATAGTTGATCCTTAAGAATCTCATCTTTTGTGAGTCATATGTCGTTTGAATTAGGCTTCTGAGGCATGACTTTAATGTTTCTTGTGTTAAGTTTATTTCAAACATCTCTATTGAGATATAATTTGTGTACCATAAAATTCACCTACTTAGAGTGTCCAAGTCAGTAGTTTTTAGTATATTCAGAGGTGTGTACGACAATTTTTTTTTCTCTTTTTTCGAGAGAAAATTTTGCTATAGGGTGCTTGAGCTCACCAGAGAGACAGAAAGTGAGAAGTCATCCCCTAGGGGAATAGCCACTCCACAATCCCTTCTCCTCTGTTCCCCTTTTGGAATTTGGGGCACGAACACATACACACACACACACACACACACACACACACACAGTGTGAGTTTCAAGCCACCAGGTCTGGTTCTCAAACTACTGTTGGCTATGAGGGAGTCCAGTGACATAATCATTATGCCATCTGCTGGTCCCTGCACCACAAGTTTTTGAGAGATTTTTGCTATAGGGTATGTATGCTTGCTGGAGATACAGAGAGAAAGAAAGCGAGAAATCACCCCCCAGGGGAGATGGACACACCCAAACCCTTCTCTTCCAGTCTCCTCAAAGGATCTTGGGCACACATGCACCCACTCCTGGTATGAATTTGAAGTCGCTGGATCTGATAACCATTATACCCTCTGCTGATCCCGCACCACAATTTTAAGTTAAGGATTTTTTTTTTTTTTTTAAATTGCCAGAGGGTACATGTACTTGCCAAAAAGAGAAGGAAAAAGCAGTCCCCATGGTCCTGCTGCAGTCCCTTCTCTATTTCCCATTCTGTCGGAATTTTGGGCACGCATGCACATATGCTTGGTATGTTTATCAGGGTGCTGGGGCCAAGATTCAAACCATGGTCAGCCATGGTCACACTGGGCTATAGCATAGGCCCTAGGACTTTTTTCCCCCCCTTTATTCATGATGTAGGGTATGCCAGTGTATGTGAGAGAGCGATGGAGAGAGGGAAGGGGGCAGAGAGAAAGAGTTAGAGAAAAGCACCTTCCCCGTGGTCTGGTCATGCTACGGCTCCTTTCCACCAGCCCTCGGATCTTGAGTATTTACGTGTGTGCCCACCCATGTGTTTCTGTTTGAGCAGGCCAGGGAGTTGAACCAGGTTACCGGGTGGGATCCATCTTCTCTGAGAAGCCTATCAGAGCCGGCTAGAAATTTAGAATATCTTCATCACCCCCAAAAGGAACCCCATACCCATTAGCAGTCACTCCATCAGTCCCCAGCCCTGAACTAATCTCACTCTCTGTGCCTGTAGATCTGCCTGTTCTGGAACTTGCATAGAAATACAGTCATAGAGTATGTGGTCTCTCGTGACTGGTTGGTTTCACTTGCAGATTGTCTCCAGGTTTCACCCATGTTATATTAGTACTTTGTTCCTTTTTATGAATGACTGATAGCCCATTGTATGAATATACTGCATTTTGTTTATCTGTTCTTCAGTTGATTTTGAGTTACTTCTGCTTTTTAGATATTGTGCGTAATACTCTCGTGGACATTCCTATGTGAGTTTTGTGTGGGTGTTTTTATTTCTCTTGGGTACGTATATTCCTTGGAGTACAATTGCTAGGTCACATGGTAAACTCTTTAAAATGACTACCCATCTTAAATTTCCACCAGTGATGTATGAGGGTTTCAATTTCTCCATATCCTTGGCAAGATTTGTAAATGTTGTTCCCTTTAAATTTTTTTTTTTTTTTTTTTTTTTTTGCTATAAGGCATATGTGCTTGCCAGGAATAGAGAGTATGAGAGAGAAATTGAGAAACGTGATAAAGTGGCACCCCCGCCCCGGGGAGGTGAGGATGACCATGCTACAGTCCATCTCCCACACTCTTCTCTTGGGATTTTGGGTATGCATACACATGTCACATACGGTGTTTTCAAGGAACCGGGTCCAGGACCTGCACAGTTAGCCATGTGAGATCCAGTGTCTTAACCACTATATCTCTGGTCTGCCCTATCTGGGATGATTTTGACCTCCAGGGAAATTTTTGGCATTTTATGGAGACCTTTTATTGGGGGGGAGGTTTTTGCTAATAGGGCACGTGCGCTCACCAGAGAGACAGAAAGTGAAAAATTCACCCCCCAGGGAGGATGGCCACACCACAGTCCCTTCTCCTCCATTCTTGGGATCTTGGGCATCATGCACACGTGCCCAGCGTGTTTGAGCCACCAGGTCTGGGACTTGAACTTCATCGTGCACACGTGCCCAGCATGTTTGAGCCACTGGGTCTGGGACTCGAACTACGGTAGACTACATGGGAGTCCAGCGACATAGTCATTTACGCCAACTGCTGGTCCCATAAAAATAATTAAAAACAAAAAAACAACTACAGTACACTGCACAGCCCCTCAACAAAAACAGTCCAGCCCAGAATGTCAGTAGTGTTTGAAACTGAGAAGCTGGCCTACAGAGGGAGATCCTGAAACTTAAGATTTTGAGGGATTTTTCTACAATTTATGTCTTGATAATCAAGCAAAGTTAATAAAAATAAAAGAAGAATCTATACAGATGGAATCTCTGTGGGCAGAATGGTGACAGAACTTGTAAATTAAATCAAGGAACATTTTGGTGAATTTTTAATGCTGCCAATTTGTGTGTAAATTACATTTATGGTCATGGAAATTACTTGGAGGAGAAATAACTGTTGGAACAATATTAGGTTATTCTCTGTACCTCAGCCTTTGGACCAGCCGAGAGACACACACACACACACACACCTCTTGGCAAATAAACTGGTTGATTTAGATAAGTGCTGAAATGGTGGTCTTCTTCAGAAAATCCAACACAGATTTGAAGATAAAATGTAGGGTCTGGCAGGTGGCATGGTGGTTAGGGTGTGGACTCCTGTGCTTGGCTGCATTTGGAGTCCTGGACTGGCTGCTTGCTTTCTCATTTTCCCTTTTTCTCTGTGTCTCTCTCGTGAGTGTGTGTATCCTATAGCAAATTAAAGAAAAATAATTAAAAAAAATAAAATCTAATAATTGGGAACCAGCTAGTGGCATGGTATTTAAAGCAGCTAGATCCCACGTTGCCAACTGTGCGGTTCAAGTCCTAGACTTCATGGCTTGATAAACAATGCCAGGTACATATGTGTGCATGCCCAAAATCCTGAGAGGAGAATGAAGGAGCAGGGATTATGGTGTGGCCATCCCATCTAGGGGGTGTTTTCTTGTTCTCCCCGTCCATGCTCCCCTCAGCAAGTGCATCCACCCTACAGCACATTTTTGAAAACAGGAAAATTAATAGCAGTGATACTCTAGTGACTAGCAGCCATCAGCCTGCTCCTGTTACTTATGGAACTAGCTGTGTCCTCCTTGCAAGCTGCTTGTTGCTCTCTGGAACCAGGTTGCCTGGGCGTAGGCCTCAGCTTCACAATTGACTTGTGTGACCATGGACAAGTTACTCAACAAGTTACTCATATTTTATGAATCAATTCTTTCATATGTAAAATGGGGAGATGCAGTAGTATCTATCTTATGGGAGGTTTTTGGGGACGAAATGAATTAATGCGTGTGGCGCACTTAAAGCGGGGCCTGACATACAGTGTTAAGTGTTTGCTGCTGACGTTTCCTGTCTGCATTCTTTCAGCTCATTGCTATGGACAGTGCTATCACTCTGTGGCAGTTCCTCCTTCAGCTCCTCCAGGAGCCTCAGAATAAGCACATGATCTGCTGGACCTCTAATGATGGGGAGTTCAAGCTTTTGCAGGCAGAAGAGGTGGCCCGTCTCTGGGGGATTCGCAAAAACAAGCCTAACATGAATTACGACAAACTCAGCCGAGCCCTCCGATACTACTACGTTAAGGTAACGCACATGCTCACCTCGTCCCACACAAAGAGCCTCGAGATAAGAGTGACTCCTTTCTATTGAGGTTACAGGTCCTAATGTCTGGTTTATTTTAATCCATCCTTTTTATGACTTCAGCAGCTTGGAATTGGGATCCAAGGTGTAAATTTCCAGCTGTATTTTTATGAACTCTTACTCAATAACTTACTCCCATTAACATGTATGTTATTCCAATATGCAGTTGTTTTTAAAAGAAAAAGTGACTAAGGGACTGGGATACAAGAAACGAAGTTTGAGATTCTTCAGGATAAATACTCTTATGTATGTCATAACTTTAATAATTTGTCACATAGGAGGGGACTTTTAAAAAGTTCATGAAAAATGCATATTATGGATTGCAAAAGTTTTTCGCAACCAAAGAAACTCATCTTTTCATTCCATTTCTCTACACACTTATTGTCTTCACACACACACACACACACACACACACACACACTTGTCTAGTAGCTTTACTTGATGTTTAGTTTTAATTTAACCCAAGAGAACACTAATTAATACCCTCTTAAAGAATAGCTGAAAATACGTAGAGTGGATTTCTTACTTATAATAGTATTTTTCTGCTTAGTATCTTACCATTTTGAATGTGTTCTTTCATATTGAGCTAATAAGCAGGGCTCCAAAAATAGAATTCAAATTAGGCTGAGATCTTAATTCCTTTCATGTTTAAGTGGCTGATCTTATCATTTTTCCTAAGTGGAGATTTGAGGTAAGAAACAACTGGAATTTCTGAAGGAAGTTAAAACCTTAGCAGCTGAATATTCTGAATTCTTTCTTGCTTACTCAGGATGTATGTGGCTTCTACCTTTGAAATTGTTTGAGACCACAGTTCAAAGTTTTCACTTAATACCAATGCTTGTTCAAGAGTGTTAAGCAATTACGATCTTTCAACTTTTATATAACACATTAGCAGTTTTTGTTAATAAGACATTTACACATTTTTGCCTTAACTTCACAATTGGTATGGCTAGGTGGATTTAAATCAATTTGATGCTTTTTTGAGAGGTTTTTGCTATAGGGTGCATGTGCTCACCAGAAAGACAGAGACAGAGAGATAGAAAGCAAGAAATCACCCCCCAGAGAGGAAGGCCACACTGCAATCCCTTCTCCTCCATCTTCCTCTTGGGATCTTGGGCACGCACACACATGTACCCGGCGTGAGTTTAAGCCACCGGGTCCAGGACTCAAACCGCAGTCAACTACATGGGAGTTTAGCGACATAGCCATTACGCTAACTGCTGGTCCCCTCAATTTGATGCTTTTGAGTAAGCCATGCCTGTTTCTCAAATAGAAAGCCTCATTAGGTCAGATTTTTCAAGAGCTGTGAGTTGTAAGTTATTAAGAAGGAATAAGAGTGCTAACTTTATTTACTTACAGAATATCATCAAAAAAGTGAACGGTCAGAAGTTTGTGTACAAGTTTGTTTCTTACCCAGAGATTTTGAACATGGATCCTATGACAGTGGGCAGGATTGAAGGGGACTGTGAAACTGTAGGCTTCAATGAAGTTAGCAGCAGTTCCAAAGATATGGAGAATGGTGGGAAAGAAAAACCACCCCTGCCTGGAGCCAAGACCTCCAGCCGCAATGACTACATCCACTCTGGCTTATATTCTTCGTTTACTCTCAACTCATTGAACTCCTCCAACACGAAGCTTTTCAAATCCATAAAGATTGAGAATCCAGCTGAAAAACTGGCAGAGAAAAAATCTTCTCAGGAGCCAACCCCATCTGTCATTAAATTTGTAACAACGCCTTCCAAAAAGCCACCAGTCGAGCCGGTAGCTGCCACCATTTCAACTGGCCTCAGTATTTCTCCATCGTCCGAAGAAACTATCCAAGCATTAGAGACATTGGTTTCTCCAAAACTGCCTTCCCTGGAAGCCCCAGCCTCTGCATCCACTGTAACCACCACTTTTTCCACCACCCCTCCTATTTCATCTATATCCCCATCTCTGCAGGATCCTTCTAGAACACCTTCACCACCCCTGAGCTCCAACCCGGACATTGACACAGACATTGATTCTGTGGCTTCGCAGCCAATGGAACTTCCAGAGAACTTGTCCCTGGAGCCTAAAGACCAGGATTCATCTTTGCCAGAAAAGGATAAATCAAGTAGTTCTTCGAGATCTAAGAAACCCAAAGGATTAGAACTGACACCCACCCTTGTGATCACAGGCAGTGATCCGAGCCCACTGGGAATATTAAGCCCATCTCTCCCTACAGCTTCTCTTACACCAGCACTTTTTTCACAGGTAGTCCTTTTCTTTCTTGCTTATTTTATTATTTTTTTCTTTTTCCTTTTTTTTTTTTGGTGCTACCATTGTTTGCATTTATTCATCTTTTAAACACATCTAGGATTTGTACTCTAAAGTTTGCTTTCTGTCATTTGGGATTTTCTTAGGAAGATTATATATATAGTCTGCGAAAGTAACCCAGTTCCTCACTTCAATGAGGATTGCCCAGAAAGATTTAGGGTGTTATCTAAATAAGTTTACCGCTGTGGCCCAGCCATGATGGCGCAGACAGTAGGGTGCCACTGCAAGATGCTGGTGCCCAGGTTCAGATCCTGGGTTGACTTGAAATGCCAGATGCATCCACAATTCTGGGCTGGCAGGAAGGCTGAGGGGAGGATCGTGGTGTGGTGAGAGCCTGTTGGTGTCACCGTCTGCCCGACTGTCTGTCTGTTTCTTTTACTCTCTCATGAGAGAAAGAAATAAACCTTTAAAAAAATTAATAGTTCTACAAGTAAGTAAACTTTTTGGTTTTCCCAGTTCCTCCTAAAGAAAGTAAGTATAGTTGTCCCTCATGATCTGGTTCCAGGACCCCATCCCCCACTTCCTAGATACCAAAATCCAGGGATGCTTAAGTCCTTTAGATAAAATGATAAGGTATTTGCCACAATCTATGCAAATCCTTCTGCTTTTATAATCAACTAGTTGGATTACTATATTTTAAAAATTCTGAATTTTTAAAAATGCTGTATTTTTTTTTTTAATATTCTTTTCAGTTTGAAGTTGGTTGATCTGAGGATGTGAAACCAGCAGATATCAAGGGCAGACTGTATTCTCTCTCTCCTTTATTTATTTATTTATTTTTGGCTTTATAAAACTGGTTGCCATCTTACCTTAAATAAGTGATAATCTTAAGTTGGAAAACAATGGGTCGTGAGACTCTTAAGGAAAATGAGTGGTGATGTTGAATAACAAGTTCATACAGTAACATTAGGTATTTATTAACTTGCTCATCTCATAAAACATTTCAGTGGATTACTCCCAGACCTTTTCGGTATTAAGGAATGAACATGCTAGTGACTCAGTACCTAAGTTCAGGTTGGTTTTTCTATTTGGGAATGACTTTTTTTCCCTTAATGTTATTTGTTGGGAAAAACTTTCAAAAAGTTAATTTTAGAAATAGTTATTTTGACCTTTATCTTTCTTAGGTTGTAAACATAATTTCTGAATGTTTTGTGATAAGATTTCTGTCTATATAGGACAGTATTTTGAGTTCATGCCCCTTTGTGTACTGTGGTGAGGATAATGCATAATCTTGGTGATCACGGAGTGACTTTCTGATTTGTACATTGCAGACGCCCATCATATTGACCCCAAGCCCCCTACTCTCCAGTATCCACTTTTGGAGTACTCTCAGCCCTGTGGCTCCCCTGAGTCCAGCCAGACTGCAAGGTGCTAACACACTTTTCCAGGTAAATTGCATAAAAATTTGTCTTTGACTAGGGGCATGTTAAATAAAGAAATAGGCAAAAAGACAGCATTCTGCTCTTCAGCTTTATCATTATAAAGCTTCTGTGAAAGGGCCAACCAGTGGTGGTGGTGTGGTTGAGGCAGCTGGCTCTCACATAGCTGATTACCGAGTTCCAGGCCTGGTGGCTGGAGAAACATGCTGGGAGCATGTGTTTGCCCAGAATTCCAAAAGTAGGGAGAAATAGGGGATTGCACAAAAAGTAAATATAATTTCTGTTTAATAGGTATTCTTGGAACCAGCAATTAGCGTAATGGCTATGTCGCTGAACTCCTGTGTACTTGACCACAGTTCATGTCCCAGACCCGGTGACTCAAACTCACACCAGGCACATGTGTGTGCCCAAGATCCCGAGAGCAGAATAGAAAAGGGATTGTGGCATGGTCATCCCCCCTGGGGGTGATTTCTCGCTTTTTGTCTCTCTATCTCTGTCTTTCTGATGAACACACGCGCCCTATAGCAAAAATCTCTCCCCCCCCAAAAAAGTAGGTATTGTTCATAGAACCAACAGATGTTAAAATGTTAAGGTGCTGGACTCCCATGTGGCCAACTGCAGTTCGAGTCCCAGACCTGGCAGCTTGAAATTCATGCCGGATGCGTGTGTGTGCATGCCTAAAATCCCAAGAGGAGAACTTTGTTTTTGTCTCTCCCTGGCTCTCTGGTGAGTGCATGCGCCCTATGGCAAAAACCTTTAAAAAAAATAATATTCTGTTTTATTGTTGCGTTTCCAAGTGTTAATTTTCTTTTTTCTTTTTTTTTTTTTTAAGAGAAATTTTTGCTATAGGGCATGTGCTTGCCGGAGAGACAGAGCAACAGAAAGTGAGAAATCACTCCCCAGGGGGTTGGCCACTCTGTACTATTTTCTCCTCCATTCTTCACTTGGGATTGTGGGCACACGCACCAAGCATGAGTTTCAAGCTGCTGGGTCTGGACTTGAACCATGGTCAGCCATGTGGGAGTCCAGCTACGTAACCATTAAGCCATCTGCTAGTTCCCCAAGTGTTAATTTTCTAGCCAGCAAACAGCTTAGAAAATATTTACAACAAAGTTTCCTTTTCATTGTTTACTGTTACATAGATTTGAATTAGTCCAAGAATTGCTCAATATTGCAGATTTTGAATCTACCTGATTTTTTAAATCATTTTAAATATTAGAAATCCTCTATTTAAACATATACACACAAATATGGGATCTCTGCACATGAGTTCTTTCTTTCAATTAAGGATATTTACACATAATATATACGTATTTAAATAGAGAAAACTCTTAAGAATGGTAAATTAAATACTCTTGTTTCTTCCTCACTTGCAGTTAACATTTATCAGAATTTTAAATATATATGTATATATTTTTTTCAAACGAATATTGTACTCTCACCAAGATGTTAGGAAAGATCTTGCCATTTCTAATGAATCTAGCCATTATTTTGCTTAGAAGGTGCAGCCTTTTTTTTTTTTTTTTTTGGAGAGATTTTCGCTATAGGGTGCGTGCGCTTGCCAGACAGACAGAGAGAGACATAGAGACAGAAAGCGAGAAATCACCCCCCAGGGGGGATGGTCACACCACAATCCCTTCTCCTCCATTCTCCTCTCAGGATCTTGGGCACGCACGCACACGTGCCCGGTGTGAGTTTTAAGCCACCGGGTCCAGGACGCGAACCGCGGTCGACTACGTGGGAGTCCAGCGACATAGCCATTACGCTAACTGCTGGTTCCCTCATTTGTTCTTTTAGAAATGAAATGGTAAGGGAAAAGAAAGTTTAAAACCTGTCTACTCTTTTTCATTTGCAAAAAGCTATAAATTATTAAATAGAAAGTGTTAAGAATCTTCCATATTTCATTTCTGTGTTTTTCTTTGCCTCTCACTAGTAGACAATTGAGTTACAGAGTGATCGAGACAAAGTGGTAGTGTTCCTGTATCTTCCGCTTTAAATCTCCTTACTGAGTTGGTCTCTGAACATAGGATAGGCGACCAGTGCCCCGTAACGACTCGTAACTCTCTGGACCTCTTTTTGAGGGTTTGTGATTTGCTTTATAATTACACCCTGTATGCACATTGTCACAGATTGGACTTTCTAAAACCTTTGTTTAAATTACTTGTGTTCCCTAGGGTATGGGGAAAGGTGCAGGTTGCTCTTCATTTGCATTCCATTAATGTCGATTGGAGAAGAGTGTTAATGTTAACATCAAAACTTTAAGTTTTGCTATAGGGTGCATGTACTTGACAGAGAGAGAGAGAGAGAGAGAAAGAGAGAGAAAGAGAGAGAAGGTGAGAAATCACTCCCCAGAGGGAATGGCCACGCCGCAGCAATTCCCTTTCCTCCGTTCTCCTCTCAGGATTTTGGGCACGCATGCACATGTGCCCAGTTTGTTTCTCAAGCCACTGGTTCCAGGACTTGAACCTCATAGTCAGCCATGTGGAATTCAGTTGCCTTAGTCATTGTGCCACTGGCTGGCTCCAAACAATTTTTTTTTTAAGTTTTTGTAACGACATCATATTCTTCCATGATAAACAGTAATTGCCTTTGTCCTGTGAACTACTACAGAAGTGTTCTGCCTCAACGACTATCTTGGGGACAGAAAATTAAAGGTGGAGTTGAATAATTGAATGATAATGTGTTTAATTTTCTTTCTCAGTTTCCTTCTGTGCTCAACAGTCACGGTCCATTCACTCTGTCTGGACTGGATGGACCTTCCACCCCTGGTCCGTTTTCCCCAGACCTACAAAAGACATAACCTATGCATCAGTGGAACGAGAGAGCCGAGGAACAAAGCAGCAAAGAGTTCAACCTGATTACGTTTGAAGTGAGCGATTGATATTCTGTAATGCTGATAATAGACTATTGTGATTTTTGGTATTTCCCATTGAAACACCTTTTTAGGATCCCTTTGAACAGAATTCAAGTTGGACTGTGTATAATAATGCCTTAATTGGAGTTCAAACTCCATCTCTCTCTCCTTTTTAAAAATATTTTGCGCTTTGTGCTAAAGAAGGTTTTGGTAGGGCTTAATGGCTATGCTTTGCAAGAACAATTAAGAACAAAGTTATCCCCTCTGACTCTGGGGACACTTTAGTCAGGAAAAAAATTATGCTTAGAGTCTGTTACTTAAATATTAATATTAGTTAAGTGAAATGGCCATACTTCAAGACTGAGTGTGCTCTGTTCATAAAGCATAGAAGAAAAAGAATCATTCCTGTTGCTACAAAGTAAGATTGGAGTATTCCCATCAGAGAGGTTCTGCTTTACCGTGAACTAACATGTAAGCAACTCCAGAAAAAGACACCTGTTTACATGTGCTGTGGTGGGTCGCTTAGCCGTATGTATGTATGCTCTTGTCTGAACCTGTCAGTGAGGCGTGGAACTGTCTGCTTTAGCAGAGGAAGATATTTAAACCTGGGGTTTATGGCAGTGTTTGGGTGAGAATATGGTACCCCTCATCTAGCATTGGAAGTTTTTCTGCCTCTGACCTAACATATGAGAGAGAGAGAGAGAGAAAGAGAGAGAAAGAGAGAGAAGGTGAGAAATCACTCCCCAGAGGGAATGGCCACGCCGCAGCAATTCCCTTTCCTCCGTTCTCCTCTCAGGATTTTGGGCACGCATGCACATGTGCCCAGTTTGTTTCTCAAGCCACTGGTTCCAGGACTTGAACCTCATAGTCAGCCATGTGGAATTCAGTTGCCTTAGTCATTGTGCCACTGGCTGGCTCCAAACAATTTTTTTTTTAAGTTTTTGTAACGACATCATATTCTTCCATGATAAACAGTAATTGCCTTTGTCCTGTGAACTACTACAGAAGTGTTCTGCCTCAACGACTATCTTGGGGACAGAAAATTAAAGGTGGAGTTGAATAATTGAATGATAATGTGTTTAATTTTCTTTCTCAGTTTCCTTCTGTGCTCAACAGTCACGGTCCATTCACTCTGTCTGGACTGGATGGACCTTCCACCCCTGGTCCGTTTTCCCCAGACCTACAAAAGACATAACCTATGCATCAGTGGAACGAGAGAGCCGAGGAACAAAGCAGCAAAGAGTTCAACCTGATTACGTTTGAAGTGAGCGATTGATATTCTGTAATGCTGATAATAGACTATTGTGATTTTTGGTATTTCCCATTGAAACACCTTTTTAGGATCCCTTTGAACAGAATTCAAGTTGGACTGTGTATAATAATGCCTTAATTGGAGTTCAAACTCCATCTCTCTCTCCTTTTTAAAAATATTTTGCGCTTTGTGCTAAAGAAGGTTTTGGTAGGGCTTAATGGCTATGCTTTGCAAGAACAATTAAGAACAAAGTTATCCCCTCTGACTCTGGGGACACTTTAGTCAGGAAAAAAATTATGCTTAGAGTCTGTTACTTAAATATTAATATTAGTTAAGTGAAATGGCCATACTTCAAGACTGAGTGTGCTCTGTTCATAAAGCATAGAAGAAAAAGAATCATTCCTGTTGCTACAAAGTAAGATTGGAGTATTCCCATCAGAGAGGTTCTGCTTTACCGTGAACTAACATGTAAGCAACTCCAGAAAAAGACACCTGTTTACATGTGCTGTGGTGGGTCGCTTAGCCGTATGTATGTATGCTCTTGTCTGAACCTGTCAGTGAGGCGTGGAACTGTCTGCTTTAGCAGAGGAAGATATTTAAACCTGGGGTTTATGGCAGTGTTTGGGTGAGAATATGGTACCCCTCATCTAGCATTGGAAGTTTTTCTGCCTCTGACCTAACATATAGCATGATAAATGGTGATTTAAGAGGATGAGCCTGGATTTTGAAAATATGATGCATCTCTAAGTGAAACACACAGCTGAGTAACTTGAAAGGACATGTCGGGGGCATTTCCCAGTTAGAAAATGCCCGGAGTGAAAGACTGGTTTTCTTTTTCCTTTTTTTTTTTTTTTAATGTTTTGCCATGGGGCACGTGTATTCCCCAGAGAGAAAGAGAGACAGAGAAGGGGAAAGTGAGAAATCACTCCCCAGGGCGATGGTCACTCCACACAACCCCTTCTCCTCTGTCCTCTCGAGATTTGGGGCGTTCGTGCACATGCAGCTGGTATGACTTTCAAGTCACCAGGTCCAGGACATGAACTGTGGTCGGCCATGTGAGAATCCAGCTCCTTAATCACCATGCCACCTGCTGCTCCCCCCACCTTATTTTCTACTGTAAATTTATCATCTTTTCTTTGAAGTTTAGGGTTCTTAGGAGTTGTGATAGTTTTAAAGATGTAATTAGGAAGATGAATGCAAAGCAAAGCCTCTCAATTGGCAGTGAGATAAAGATGCCCTTGTTTCTTTCATTTTATTATTATATTTTTAATTAAGGAAGAGCAGGGTTTTTTTAAGAGTGGTCTTCTATAGGGATTGGATTATTTATGTTACTAGTGAAAAAGGTAGGCCTTTATCTCTGCATTACCAGATTTATAAAGTATTACCGTAAGGTTATCAATGCCAGGTGCAGCCAGATTGGTTGATTCCCCCAAAACTGAAGTGATGTCAGTATCACAGTGGAATCTTAAAAATTTGGCTTTAAAGTCCAGGATTAAAGTAGACACTGTCACACCACCACTCTGCCTATTAAATTCATCTTTTAATCCTATAATTGAATCACACGACGTACATGGGGTGAAGGAGCGAAGACTTGAGGGCGCAGAATGATGCTCAGTGAAATAAGCAGTCACCTTCCAGATGAACGGTGTTTGTCTTCGGTTGTTTATATATGTGTGGGGAAGCTCTTGAACAAGGCACTCTGCTAGTTTGTTAGTGACAGAGGGAAGGTCATCATGACGTGTGTCGCGTGGGAGGCCTGTAACTGGCTCATTTGGGCTTGTTAGCTGAAAGTTCTGTTCCTGAGATGTGCAATAGTAGTGTTGAAAGGTCATGCTCAGTAGTGATGGGGAACAGATTGGACTTCTTTTTTTCCGTATTGAATTATTTAGTTTGCATGCCTGTTTAAAATTAGATGTCTCAGCAGCACTTTGGAATAGCTTTATTAGATTAACCTTTTGTACATTAAATAAGTAAATATTGTTGGTTTAAATTTTGGAAGCACAAGGTATTTTATCTTTTTGAATTAAAGGAGAAAAGCCATTGGTTTGTTGTCACAGATGATATCTTTGATAATTAACTGTCTCAGCACAGAGGTGCCTTGGAACCAAGGGCACTATTAAAACTCAGAGCAACTTTCTAGGAACATGTCTTAGTAAGTCTTCTTTCTATAAAGCTATAGCCGAGGCCTCTGAGAGATGTGAGGCCTTAGGAGTTTGATAGTAATCTGCTTTCTTTGAGATCAGCTAATTTGGGAAAGTATGTCTGTGTGTGTGTGTGTGTTTACATGTGTTCCTTTTTAAGTCAAAGTTTACAACCTTAGCGCATGTATATGAGGCAGACAGTTCTATTTGTACACTACCTCCTTCCTGGAAAAGTTTCACCTTCATTATTTTAAATATCCACAGACTTCTTAGCATCAGAGGAGACAGACCACTTAAGACTCCAGTATTCCCCACAGAGCCCTCCATTTGGTAGCTGTAGCCAGTATCCATCCCAAGGCACTCTGCCAGGGGGAGTGGCGTCAGGTAAGCCAAAGAGGAGGAACAGGTTGAATACGATCTTGAGACCTGTTCTGTGATACCTGGCTGTTGGTCTGCTCGGGCCCAGGCTACTCAGTTGTGTGCTAGAAGTTGCACAGCAGGATCTCTGGGGTGAGGATAGACCCCTGTAGCTTATTCCCTCTGTGGCTGATTTCAAGCCACCACTGTGGAGTTGAAGGGATGTCACAGCTGGCTTGGAGCCTGTGTCAGCAAACCACTGCATTAACTCCACTCTGGAGTGGATTTTCACATCATTTCTAACATGTTTTCTTGTTCATATGCTTATTTTATTTTATTTTTTTTTGGGCCAATCATAACATTCAACTTTATTTAACCCCCCCCCCATCAAACACTTTTTTTTTATATTTTTTTCAATTGTCTCAGTGAGTTTGATGAAGTAGGGCTTCTGGTCACTAGTGGACAGAGAGGCACGAGATTTCTGGATTGAGAATCAAGAAGGGACAGTGTCCTTCAGAAAAATCATCTATAAATAGACTCAAGTTGTCCAGAAGGAAAGAAACTCAGTCCTTCTCTGAGGTCCGCTCCAAGGTACTGTCTAGATGCTCATTCCTGACCATAACGTCCTCCTTATTCTCTTCTACTAGGCCTTCCTTATCATCCTTGGCCTTTACAGTTTGCGTAGGACACTCTGGTCCTCAGGCCAGTTACAATAATAAAGTGGTTCAATTTTTTTACATAGATGAACTTAACCATTTTGGGGAGTTTTGTTTAATAGTTGAGGAAGTCATTCTGTGGGCAATTTTCTTAAAAAGCTTGTAGGTTTTTTCTGCCAACTCCCTGACCACCAGATCTTCATCTTGAAACATTGGTTTAGTAACATCAAGCACGACTTCAGTCTCATCTCTGAGCAGTAAGTAATCCCCTGCTTTGGCCAAGTACCCTCTCTTGGGTTCTCTCCTCTTCCATTCTGGATCATTGTCTTTGTAGTGAGGACAGAAGTGTGACCCAACTTATTTAACTTTTAAAAATAAAATGAAAAGTGACATAAAACAGTACTATGCAGTGTGAATGTTAATTTTTCCTAAACTTGGCTTTCTGTAACTAAGATTGTAGAACAAGGGGAAGGAAGAGGAAGATTAAATAGGCTCTGGGAAGTATGAGAGAGACACCAATCATGGCAATTTCACAAATAAAATTTATAGTACTTATGTTTTAGACAGTAATTCATTATATAAGTTTTGATAATGTACCATATTATAACTTGTTCTCAGCTGGAAGTAGGGTTTCATTTGGTAGGCTGTAAGTCTTAGGGTATCTTATATTACCCTAAAGGATTTTTGGACATCTCAAGTATAATGCAGATCATTAAAATTAGAGTTTTTTACAGCAGCCCATCCATTACTTACAGAATAAGTGCAGCAGTAAACTGTTTCAGCAGCTTCTGGGTAAAGTCCTCACCAGATAATCCGTTGGTATCTGAGCCAGAATAGTAGCTGTCTTTGCCTAACGCCACACGTCTTCACATCAAAAGACCCTTTTCTAAAACGATCCCCAGTTTCCAGCTCGCCAGTGATATTTGATTCTGCATATTGATGGGCAATACTGAGAGCAAGCTTTAGCCGATATTTTATACCCCAGGAATGTTCCGAAGGCCACACGACTCCTCCGTGGAGATAAAGCAGGCCTGTAAGATGGTGGCAGATGGCGGTATTTTCGATTCCGTGCTTGAGCAGACAGTTCAGCTCTCTGACGATGTCCCCACTTGTGCAGTACTCCGTGAACACGGTTTTGGACTCTGTCAGGCGTTTGGCTATTCTCTGTCCCAAAGGAAGGAGGTGAACCACACAAAACTGCCATTCCTGAAATGATTAAGTAGATTCCTGTTGGCATTTCACCTTCTCTACAGATTACCTCTCTGTAGTCAAAACAGGCAAGTGTGACTTGAAGTGTCCTTGAAGAACTCAGTGAGAAAATCTTTATTTTCCAGCCAAATGATGTTACAAAGATATTTTTCAGGGACGGGGTGGGATGGCCATGGGAAAGCTATTCAGCACTTTTATTTTTGTAAGAAGTACTGTGTTATCTCAATGCCTTCACGTTTATCAATGATGCTTAGTCTTCACAGCAGTGACCACATTTCGAACCTCATGCTCTATGAGTCCCAGTTCTTTGACAGCATCTTGTTTGCCAAAATTTGGTTTCCAGAATTTGATATAATTTCTGATATGTTGATTTGTGGCCCAAAATTTGTTTGATTAAAAGTTTGGCATCTTCTTGGGACCAGCAGTTGGTACAATGGCTACGTGGCTGGACTCCCATGTAGTCGACCATGGTTCGAGTCCCAGACCCAGTGGCTTAAACTCATGCTGGGTGCATGTGCATGTGTGCCCAAGATCCCGAGAGGAGAATGGAGGAGAAGGGATTGCAGCATGGCCCTCCCTCCCCCCGCCCCCCGGAGGGTGATTTCTCGCTTTCTGTCTCTTTGTCTCTGTCTTTCTGGTCTCAGTCTGACAAAATATATACAAAGGTCCAATTAACATTTATCAAGTCTTTTTTCATTTTGGATAAATCAGGGTGTCCTGTGTTATCTCATTTATGTGCTGAATAACATTTTGCACGGCCATTTGTCTTGGAAGGGAAATAGCACACAAGCCTAATGCCCTGGCTGAGTGAGTCATCATAGATGCATTTATTCCCATGCTCAGTGACGCTATTACTTGTATGTGGTGCATTCACTTTTTGTTCACCCAGATGATAAACCAGGAGCCAAGAGCAAGCTGAAAAGTCCTCTAATTCCAGACCATGAAATAACAATTCCCTATTGCCAGTTATATTCATTATTCAAACACATCAAAACGGAGCTCGCTAACAAAACAGTAGGCAATCTCACAAAATTCATTGTTGCAGATAAGGTGAATAGGAAAGCTACAACATGAAATTTTTGTATTTGATTTCTCCACATCCAGTCACAATGCCAAAGAAAGCATATATCAAATGTTGGTATACAGATGAAAACATTATTAAAATTTTAGTAATTATGAACTCACTCCTCAGTCTAAAGCTTAAGGAGTCTAAAGTCAACCCTACAGTGACCAAAGCAAGTATTCCTGACAGTCCCCCAAAATTCCACGACGTAGGAGGTCATGTACACCATTAGAAAGCAGAGAATGGCGTTGGTCATCGTATCGCTAAAAAAGGCAGCATACATATGCTTCCTAAAATGTCCAAGAAGAGTCCTGCAAATACACGTAACTCTCTAAACATAGAACTATGGCTTGTGTTGCTCCAAAAAAGTCCCCCCAAAATTGCTGTGAGGCTACAAATGACCAGAGTCTCCTCTGATGATAGCAGTCTGCATTTTAGACATGCCAGTACTTTTCAGTGAATTCACAGAAT